AGCGACAATCCTCATTCAGGCAATCACCTGCAGCTATAGCTACTGTCAAGGGTGCCCATGGAGGAGTTGGAAAGATAGGATAGGGAAGTGATAAGTCAGATCTGAGTGGAAAGAAGCCATAAAAGAGTAGCTCACCCGGTACAGTGTCTATCAGGAGATGTTTTAGATGCCATGGCTACGGGCACATAGCCCCTTTACAAGCCGAGTTGTTTAGTTCACAGAGTATGGCGTCGTCGAGGAGGTGGAGGAAGAGGAAGCAGAGGAGAACCTAGAGTAGAATTTCAACTCCAAGGGGACGAGGAAGAGATGCTCGTTATACGGCGAGTCCTACATATGGAGCTAATAAGTATCATTCATGGCCGAGACAATATTCACACCATGTGCACGATGAAGGGCAATGTTTGAAGTTTGATTACAACGGTGGAAGCCGTGAGAATGTAGTATCCACATTGATGGTGAAGAAACCTTGATTGGTAACAAAGAAGCATCCTCAATCCTACTCGCTTGGTTGAAGAAAGGAAACAAGATACACGTGGATCAACTGTGTTTGGTAGTATTTTTGATCGGAGACCGGTTATAGAAGCAAGTGTGGTGCAGTGTGGTTTTTATAGACGCATGTCATATTCTGTTGGATAGGCATGGCAGTTCGACCGCAAGACCCAACACGATGACTTCAAGAATACTTATTCATTTTAAAATGTTGGAAAACAAATCATGATATTACCTGTCAATGATGAAAGAGGTATAAAGAACACAGAGGAGGCATTAGCTTCAAGAGCTACCTTCATGCAGTCGGTCAGGATGCTTTAGTAGCAATGGTGTTGGTCCGACTTGAGGGAATTAAGGAGAGTGAGATACTAACACCTATACAACCACTGCTATGTGATTTTGAGGATGTGATGACAAACAGTCCTCCAGAGGGATTGCTGCTACTGAGGGACATTTAAAATGCCTTAGATCTCATACCCTTATCAGTGTTACCAAATCGGCTTGCCTGCGAAGTACATGAGTTGTAATGACAGGTAGAGGATCTCCTCGCAAGAGGATTAGTCAGAGAGAGTCCCAATTTGTGTGTTGTTGCCGCCTTGATGGTACTCAGGAAAGATGGTTCGTGGCAGATGTTCATTGACTATAGGGTCTTCAACAAGATTACCATCTATTATCATTTCTCCATACCTCACATGGATGATCACTTGGATCAGTTGCACGAGCCTTTCTCTTTTTTAAGGTCGACTTATGCAGTGGGTACCGCTAGAACTGGATGAAGCCATGGGACGAGTGGAAGACTACTTTAAAGACCCGATATGGATTATACAAGTGGACAATTATGCCTTTCAGATTGTTTAATTTGACCATCACATTCATGAGGTTGATGAATCTGGTGGATTGGGCCCACATCGGGAATTTATGGTGGCGTACTTCGACAAAATTCTGGCATACAACCAATCCGAGGATGAGCACTTGTACCACCTGAGGACGGGCTTTGAGGTGTTGCGATCAGAAAAACTATACTCCCATCGAAAGAATTGTCACTTTATGACAACACCGATATGTTTTTTGGGTTATATTATGTCTAGTGCAGACATTTAAATGGATTCTACCAAGATCGAGACCATTATATGTTGAATTGCACCGCAATCTTTCACCAAGCTGTGATAGTTTATGGGACTAGCAACATTTTATAGACGATTCATTAGGAGCTTCAGTACCCTCACCGCTCCCTAATAGAGCTATTGAAAGGAGAGAAATTTGAATGGACAGATGCAACTTAGAACAACTTCAACACGCTGAAGGGGAAGGTGACTCAGGCACCAATTTTGGCATTACTGGATTTCAATCAACTGTTCGAGGTATTGATGTGTCTAACGTGGGGATAAGAGCAGTGCTGAGCTAGGGAGGTCACCATATAGCCTTTTTCAGTGGGAATTTGAATGAGTCCAGGAGAATATATTTGACGTATGACAAGGATTTCTATGTTATTGTGAGAGCTCTTGAGCATTGGCACTACTATCTACTGAAGAGTAAGTTCACTTTATTCACGAATCATGAGGCCTTGAAATTCTTGAACAACCAGAGAATGCTGAAGGGCCAGTACCCATCTTCGGTGCAGCTCTTAGCGTCGTTCTAGTTTGTTCTTAAGCACAAGGCGGGGAGCCAGAACGCGTAGCAGACTCACTGAGCCGTCATCACTTGCTGATCATTGAGATGCAGGCTCAAGTCGTAGGCTTTGAGATAGTGAAGGAGTTGTACGAGACAAACAATGATTTAGGAAAAATTATGGAGCGGAAGCCTATCGGGGAATACTGCAGGGTTGATGGTAATTTGTTTTACCAGAGTAAGTTGTGTTTTCCTTGATGTTTGCTGAGGGAGTCCAATGTTCATGAAGCCACAGTGGAGGACTTCTAGGATATTTTGTTAGAGATAAGACTCTCATTTGTGAGAGAACACTTCTTTTGGCTTTGACTGACTAGAGATGTGGAGCGGCGTGTCAAATAATATCGGATTTGTCATATGGCCAAAATTTGAGACATAAGGTAGGACTATACAACCAATTATCTGTACCGGAGACACCATGAGGAGATGTTAGCACAGACTTTATGGTGGGCCTTTCAAGGGCCCAACAGAATAAGGATTCCATTATGGTTATTTTGGATCAATTTTTGCAAATGGCGCATTTTGTACCCTACTACTTGACATTGGATGCATTGTTTGTGTTGGATGCATTGTTTGTTACTGACTTATACTTTAGGAAGTTTGTGAGGCTGCATGTGATACCCATGACCTTCACTTCCGACAGAGATGTCAAGTTTTTGAGTCACTTCTAAAGGTCCCTGCAGGGGAAGCTAGGCACTAAACTTCAATTTACTTTCGCAGCTCACCCACAAACGGACAGTCAAATGGAGGTAGTAAATAGGAGCTTTGAGAGCCTTTCGAGATGCTTTGTTGGGAAGAGTATCAAGAAGTGGGATTTACTTCTAGCTCAAGCCAAGTTTGCTTACAATAGATCCGTGAGTCAGACTATGGGACACACCCCATTTGAGGCTGTATGGGCGCAACAAGCTCATTCCGCTTTAATTAGTACCTCTTTTGCCGACATCAGAGATTAGTGAGGATGCTGAGGAATGAGTACGTCAGATTCAGAAGCTCCACTAGGAGGTTGGAAAGGAGATCACCAAGAAGAACCACAAATACCATGCACAGGCAAATAAGACTAGGAGCATGGTGACGTTTGAAGAGAGGGATCTAGTGTGGATCCAGTGCATTTCCAATGGGAGCATTCAAAAACTCAAGCCCAGAGCATGTGAACTTTTCAGAATCTCTGGAAGTTGAATGAAAATTCTTATAAGATCGATCAGCCAGTGAACTACAATGTTTTCACTACGCTTATTGGCTCGGACTTGCCATTGTACTACGAGGGCCAGAAGCTTCGACGAATGAAGTCGAAGCTCCCGCAACCCCGTGAGACTAACTTGGGGGTTCGGGCTGAACCGGCTCGACCGGTTTAGCAAGGATGTGGCTGGTCTAGCAAGGAGGTTGAATTGGTTGGCACTAATTAGGGCTAAAGGTTATGGCGCCCCTCTCCCCTTCCCTTCCTAGTTATCTCTTCTATAAATGTGTTGCTTTGTTGTTTAGGGTTGAGTCTTCATTTGTTGTTTTCAGGTTTCTCGCTGCTGGCGCGGTCTCCTTTTTTAGGGCTGTATCCGAGGAAAGTCAGTGCTCCGGTTGTATCCTGCTCTGAGGTGGTAGTTATCTCTACAAATCCTCTCTGTTTTTCCCTTCCCAACTTGTTGCCCTCTACCCTGCGCTCCCCACCTTCCCGGCTATTGCCACTAGTCTTCCTGCACCAAACAGTCCAAACCTGCTGCCACCAGTCCTTCCTACACTCCTTCCTGTTGCTGCCAACCTTCCAAACCACCCTCATCTACTTTTGCCACCTTTCTAGCAACCCGACCTGCTGCCGCCTTCCCTTCCTGCAACCTTACCTGCTGTTGTAACCTTCCAAACCACACGCACACCTGCTGTGCAGCCGGGGTTCATCACTTTCACCCTCACACTAAATTCTCGTTTGTGCTTTGTATTATTTTTTTTCCAGTTTTAAGAACTTTTGCTCTGATTCCTTCGAATTTTCAACAATAATATTCATGTTCGATTGTTTTTTTTGCTTTGATTCCCTTTCCGTTTTTCATGAATCGATTCATTTGTTGTCACCTGTAGTAGTTTGCATCTTAATTCCATATTTACTGTTATCAATAAATTTGAAGATAAGCAACTTTGTAAACTTTACATCTCCCTATTTTTCTGTCCAGTTGAGCAAGATTCCCGGTAAATAAGGTTTTGCTAACTTTGACATTTTGATTTGCCCCTCATGGTCATATACGTCTTTTTTTTAAACAAAAAAAGAAATCACGGACATCTTTAATTTAAGGCTCATTTGAGGAAACTTTTCTGCTACTTCTCGTTTCAAAAAGAGGCTTTCTTCAGTTTATAAGTTTTTTGGTTATTATACTTCATTAGAAACGCTTTAAAAAAATTCATTTTTTTCCAATTCGAGCCTTAACTTTTATCAAACTTTAAAAAGCTGCTTTTGAAAAAACAAATTTTAACAGCCTTTTTTAAAAGGGGAATACTAACCAAAACAAAAGCCTTAATCTTAAATGTTGACCCAAGATAAATCCTATTGCAAGCAGAGTTCAGTTCCTAGGTTTTTCAACTTTAAGAAGTTCTGATGTCATTGAAGTGAAATAAAATTTGAAGTTTTGATATAATAGGAGTGACCTCTACCCATTAGCTTTAATTTTTTTGATCAATGAATTCTCATTTATTAGACTGTCAGGCTTAAGTTAAATCTCCAGTGTTCCACCCTCCTAACAATTAGCTTAATCTTCTTGGACCGATGACGAAATTTCTGTAGTTGACATATGAAGATTATTGTCTCAAATTTAGAAGTGTAAATTTGGAATTGTGGAAACTTTCTTAATCTTTGGATCTATTCTTTACAGAAAAGAGCGGCCATCATGCAAACTATTGTATGTTACACCAGAAAGGATAGCTGGAAATATGTCATTCATGGATACCCTGAGATGTCTACACCAGAAGGTGGCTGTTTTTTTTTTATTTGTTTTTTAGAGATCTGATTGGGTATTTCATTAAAGTGTGTTTTCTTCAAATTTTGATATATAAAATTTTGCTAACTTTTGTTCAGATTGATGGTTCTAATATTTTCTTTCTTACAGGGTCTTCTTGCAAGATTTGTAATTGATGAAGCACATTGTGTTAGGTGATTAATATGAGTTGATCGCACAAATGCCTGTTTATCTTTAGGGATATTTATATACATACCCCCCAATTCTTATGTATCTAGATATCTAAAGCCTAAACTTTATTTTTTAGATTTATACCACCCAAATCTTTTATATGACATAAAAAATACCACTATTTTATCTTTTGAAAAGTGAAATACACCATTTCATGCATAGTTAAGGCGGCATGTATGGAAAAATTGAAGTTTGGGTGTTAGATATTTGAATAGTTATGAATTGAGTGGTATGTATGCAAATCTTCGTTATATTAAGTGCTTTCTGATAAAAAGTCTGTAGCTAGTAAATTTTCCTTATATTGCTTTCAGCCAATGGGGACATGATTTTCGACCAGACTATCGAGAACTCAGCTGCCTCAAACAGAACTTTCCTAGAGTATCTCTCATGGCACTAACTGCAACTGCCACTCACTCTGTTCAGAAGGTATTAAAAGGAGAGAAGTGTTCCCCTGATTCTTTTTAGAGGTCCATTTTAATCTCAGTCTATAAAAATGTCAATATTCCCATGCTCTTTTAATGGGAATTAAAATAGTTATCCCTTGAAACTGTTTCAGCCCACATTAAAAGAATCTAGGGACTAATTTGTCACTTTAATAGACTCTTGGACTAAAATGGCCCCATGTTGTAAATAGCCGGGACTATTTTAACACTTTACTCCTATTAAAACAGTAATTTTAGTTTCCTCTTGGGTTAATATTAAGTTGATTAGTAAAATATTATCATCAAATTCAGGACATTTTAAGCACATTAAGGATTCCTGGTGCTGTTGTTCTCGAGGCAAGCTTTGATAGGCCTAAGCTGAAGTATGAAGTTGTTGGAAAGTGCAAAGATTCATTGAAACAACTTGGACAAATGATAAAAGACCGTTTCAATAATATGTGCGGGATCGTATATTGTCTTTCCAAAAGCGAATGTGTTGAGGTTTCAAATTACTTGAATCAGAAATGTAAGATAAGAACTGTTTATTATCATGCTGGTTTGGCGGCTCGTCAGAGAGTTACTGTTCAAAAGAAATGGCAGAGTGGAGAGGCTTATGTCGTCTGTGCTACTGTTGCATTTGGAATGGGAATCGACAAAGCGGATGTTGTGAGTTCCGCTAAATTTTTAAAAGAAGAAAAAAAAAACATCAAAATGGTCCCTGACTATTTATAAGAGAAAAATAATTCCAGACTATGTAAAATGCTATTTTGGTCCCTAGACTCATTAAATATGAACTAAAACTGTCCTGTTGGAGGGCCTTTTTGGTTCCTATTTAAATAGTTTGAGGTAAGATTTACAGACATTCCACCCAATTCATAGGTATTTACATATCTAACACCTAAAGTTCAATGTATACATATGTGCTGTCTATTTCACTTTTTAAAAGTTAGAATAGTGGTATTTTTTTGTGATATTAAAATTTTGGGTGGTATAAATGTAAAAGGCAAAATTTAGATGTTAGACATGCTCATAGGAATTGTGCAGTATGTATGTAAATGGCCATAGTTTTAGTAAATTGGTCTTTTATATAGTTTGGGACCATTTTAGCTCCTTGCAAACAGTCAGGGGACCATTTTTCATCCTTTCTCTCATTTTCAAAGTATTATTTGTTTTTGTATTTGAAAGCTCTTAACGAGAATTTGCTCTTTTTTGCCATGCAGAGGTTTGTGATTCACAATACTTTGTCGAAATCAATTGAGAGCTATTACCAAGAATCAGGGAGGGCTGGAAGGGATGATCTTCCTGCAGCTTGTGTTGTACTGTACCAGAAGAAAGATTTCAGTAGGGTTGTCTGCATGATTAGGAGCGGGCAGGGCTTCAAAAGCCAGAGCTTTAAGACAGCCATGATCCAGGCAAAGAAAATGCAAGAATATTGCGAGTTAAAGGTATATTGAACTCCTTCAAAACCATTTGGGATTACTTTTGTTTTTTTTTTTAATTTTTTTTTGTTTTTTTAATTTTTCACTTAAAATCATATATATTTTGTTAACATGTGTGACCATACTAACTTGTATGTTTTAAAATGATTAGCTGTTTTTGAAAATACTCGGAATAACTTTTAGGTGTTTTGAGTGTTTTTTTAAAAAAATTAATTTGCTTTTGAAAATAAAAATAAAAGAACGCAAAAAATGCACTAAACAAACATGTTTTTAAAATAGAAGTAAAAAAAAAGAAGCAAAAATGATTCCAAACAAGCCATTCACTATTTGACATTATGTTTTTTGTCTCTCATATTGATTGTAGTTTTAGGACATGATTCTACGAGTATTTTAAGCTCAATTTGGATTGAATCTGTATATTATCTCAGTTAAGATTGAAGAATGAGCAGCTCAAATCATGCATAAAATAAAGGGGCATTTACATACATACCCCTCAATTTCTATGTATTTACATATTTAACACAAACTTCAATTTTTACATGAATACCACCTTGCCTGTGCATAAAAAAATATATATTTTACCTTTTAAAAGTTAAAATGGTGATATTTTTTATGCGGTATAAATGTAAAAAGCAAAATTTAGATATGAGATATGTACATCACATAAGAATTGGAAGGTATGCGTGTAAATGCCCCTAAAATAAAATGAGAGTTGCATTCACCTAAGGATTCATTTGGTAAAGTTTTTAAACTGCTTTCAATTTTAGTGAAAGCAGTTTTTTTCATTTTTACTTCCGTTTGGCTTTAATTCTTTCTTAAAAGTAGTTCTAATCAAACATGGTTTGTAGTTATTTTAGATCATCATTTTTATTTGGCTTTAAAGCCTACTTTCTATAAAACAACTTTTAAATTTTTTTTTTTGACAAAGCAAGAGCTGAACCAAACAAAGTCTTAAATTAGGTCCCAAGAAAATAATCACCACAATCTAACACAACACCTTGTCCTCTGAGAGCGGTTATGATCCAACTCGGAAATTCGTTCTTGAAAAACAACTTGATCCAACTCAACACGTCACACAGCTCTACATCTCTTCGAGTAAATATCCCTTATAGAATAGATATAACTGATACCTTGTAATAGGCTTCTTCTCTTCCCATTCATGGTTCTATAACCACTTTTTCTATTTGATGGTTGTGCCATTGTATTTCAATTGTTCACCTCAACTTGGAATTATAAATAAAGGATCTCAACATCTAATTAGATAGCGTAGAGAATCCTTTTTTTATAAATTCACACCTAAAATTTTATATTTATATGCATAGCACTTTGATGCTTCAAAGCTTTTCATGAAAATAAGTATTTCATTTTTAAAAAGTGATAATAACGCTATTTTTGATGTGATATTAAGGATTCAAGTGTTTGTGCGTAAACATGAAAGTTTAGGTGTGAAATATGTAAATGCACAAGAATTGTGTGATATGTAATCGTCCCAATAAAGATTCAACGCCGAATACGAATTTTTAGCCATTGGTGGTTGCATCTTTGCTCAAGAAATGATTTCCCTTTCACCCAAAATTGTTCTCCTAACATTCTCAGTCACTTCACTCACAACCGTTTTATAACTCCCTTTATAAACTTTGCATGTCATGACCTGATCCGATGTTTATAATTAACCAAGGTGGGTAGAGACGGTCGAATAGTGGAAAAATAAATTTCTCTATAACTAACATTTTAATAATGAAAGAATCACCATAAAAAAATGAATTAAAGTAAAATGGTTAAATTTATCTCAATTCTGGTTGCCCGTATCTTCTATAAATATTTTTTCTTCTATTGCGCATATTATATAAATAATGATGTTAATTTATTAGATTTGAATGAAAATATGACAAAATGACACAGTGAAGCACAATGAAAGAGAAAACAATATACATGTCAGTTAAGCCTTTAATAAATATGTATAAAATATTGATAGTTAATAAATATCATCACTCACCATATTTTATAATAATTAAAGTGTTTTGTTATATCAACAATATATCTAACTCATTTATATCTGTACAATCGTCACAGGAGCATCGTCTAAAAATTATACCAGTTTTAATATCAATTTACTTTTTCATTTACGTGCGCGGGTATCTTAGGATTCTTCTGCTAGTATTATAAAGTGGTTCCATCATAGTCAATCTTGTACATAGAATGTGTCTTTAATAATATGTTATAATTTTTTTATTATAAAGAGGCCTAACTTTTGGATATAACCAATAAAAAGAAGAGTATTTAAATCAGAATAATCTGATACATGAATTTATAGATATCAATAATTATTTATGCAATTTTTTACTCACCTCGATTTAAATGATTTTATTTGCTTTTAATTTTTGTTCCCTCCTCCAAGTTAACAACACCAATAATATATAAAATATTCAAATTATTAAATTTTTATCACATTACTTAAGTATGTTTAATTTAATTGTTAATTATCAAATTTTATTTTATTACATTGTTTAATTAAGATTTCATTAGTTAAATATTAAGTTTAATTATTGCAATTAATACATATATTAAATATTATTAATTTTAAAAAAATACTTTTGGAATTAAAATCCTAATCTTTCTTTGCTGCCGTCAACCTTTTTCTCATTTCAAATATGAATCTTCTATAGCTTAAATCTTGATTTCAAATGAACTTAAACTTTACATCTAAATAACAATTATTAAAATTTAGTCTTTAATATCTCAGTTGAAAGACCCTCTATCTCATCTCCTTCCTCTGCACGCGAAAAAATTTTTCCATACGGAGTGCGGACACAGCACTTCGTGCGGAACTCCAATAATATGCTGCCACGTGTGCCATACCGGACCCACCTCATAAAATATTAAAAAAAATGAATTTTTTTAAGCCTGACCTGCCCAGACTGTATCGAAGTTGAACGCGGAGGTTATTGGAACGGTTCACCGCGCGTGTTATTGGGAGGGCATAACAGCGTGATTAAAGCATATTACGGCGTTTTGGAGTTCATACCCCCAATAACACCGAAATAATACCCCAGTAACTCTGGAATAACACCAAATTTGAGATTTGCAATTAACTATCGAGAATTTTGGGTGGGGTGGAGGTTATAAACAACTAGCATTTCTTAGGAATGGTCATGCAGCTGAATTGCTGGACTCGAGATTTTATTAATTTTTGAGACTGAGATACAGTGACTCTGATTCCATTTTGAGAATGGGTCTTTTGACACTAATGCAGCTTAGAGTTTTTTTTCTTTTTTTGGTAATTAAACTTGGCTGAATGAGTTTTCTGGTATTGGTTCTAAAAATGCTTACAATGGAAATTAAAACTTTTATAGTTCTAATCAGCATACATTTGTTAAAATAAATTGCATGTTACAAAAATGGCGAAAATATTTAAATAATAGAGGCTTAGAATTAGAGAGACAGCATAGGAATATTACGCTGAGAGATATCTTATAAACCTAAACTTGGCCCAGCATTATGGATTGGGTAAAGCAAAGTTAACATGGATGAAAGCTGTTTAAAATAGTTTAATCTCTTCATTTGTGCTGCAAACTCTTTTTTTACAAGTTTCACATGCTTAATGGTCGGGTAATGATGTTCATCCTCATCTTTATTCTTACGTTTTTCGACTTTGCTTCTCTTCTTCCTCTTTTGTTCCCTCTATCTTGATATTCTGTATTCCAGTGCCTAGATGCTTACATTACACATTCTATCATTGTTTATATTACCATGCTATGGATAATAGTGGGAGTAACGATGAAGATTTTGAGTCATGATATGAACAACTTCTTCATTTTCCTTTTTGTTTTTTAATGATTTTGTCATCAGCCTTTTCTGTTGAACTCTTTTACCTCAGATTTTAAACAACTATTATTTAGAATGTTTATTCTTATCATGTTTAGCTGTCTATTTATGTTAGCTAAGCCATGATAAGCTTAGCAAATTTAAACAGTAAACTTTTGAAGCTTAAACTGTAAGTTGTGTTAAGTTTTTTGGTTGTTTAAAAGCTGTTTGGTGTATGTTTTTCTGTTTTATTTTTTTTCTTAACTTTATGCTTAAATTGTATAATGGAGTTTTTGTGACTTCTAAAGCATTGAAAAATTTTGACAACACTTCTCTATGTCTATGTTACCTTGCCATAAATACAATAAGTGTTAGACCAAGCATTCCAAAATTCTTGATAGTCAATTGCAAATCCCAAAATTCTCGAGAATTTTTGGGGTTATTTTCGGTTTTTGCTCATCATCTTTCAAATCCACAAAAAAAAAATCATAAACCTACAAAGAGTTTCAAACAAACAATGTCACACCACAATAACAACACGTTTGCACCTAAAGAAAACTAAAATAATACAACAATAACCCAAATTCATTGTGATTTGGGGGTTATTGGGGTATTATTTCGGTGTTATTGCGTATTATTTAGGTGTTATTGGGTATTAACTCTAATAACGCTGTAATAACCCCCCAATAACACCGCGCACTGAATCATTCCAATAACCTCTGTGGTTCTACTTCAATAACCCCTGCATAACAATTTCAATAAGTCTCCAATAACGCCGCAAAAACCCTTCAATAACACTTCAATAACACCCCACAGAATAATTCCAATAACGACTTTAATAACGCCGCAATAACCCCCCAATAACATCGCGCTGTGAACCGAGAATTTTTAGGGTTATTTCGAGGTTATTCTCTGTTTTTGCTCATAATCTTTCAAATTTATAAAAAAATCATAAACCTACAAAGAATTTTAGACAAGAAATGTCACAAAATAATAACACATTTGCACCTAAAGAAAACCAAAATAACACCACAATAACCCAAATTCGGTGCTATTTTGGGGTTATTGGGGTATTATTTCGGTGCTATTGGGTATTAACTCCAATAACGCTGCAACAACCTCCCAATAACACCGTGCGGTGAACCGCTTCAATAACATCCACGGTACCACTTCAATAACCCCCACAGAATAACCTTAGAATAACTTCAATA